TCTGTGTGGCCCCGCCTGGCGGCCCCGGCCTCACCCTGGGGGGAAGCTATAAGGCAAACTCACCTCCTCTGTATGAAGGGCTGTGGGAATCACCCATATGTCAACCTTAATTCGGGGGCTCGGGGTTCAAACCCCAGCATTTCACTAGTTCAATCTAAAAATTATAGAACAGACTTAAAATACAAAGGAACTTCTCTGGAAAAGCGTGCTCAAATACTCAAGACAAAAAGCACCAGAAAGGTGCAAGGAGAAAAAGTAATTTAAAAGGTAATGCAGAGAAAACCAATACAGGAATAGTTATTCAGATGGAAACTACACATACCATGTAAAATCTATTTTTTTTAAAAGCCGTGCAGATGACTGTTGGATCTGCCTGGATATTTTGGAGGACGGGATTTTCAGATGCCTTCATCTCTATAGTGATTGCAGCACGGTGTTTCTTCGCTACCCCTTGGAACAAAGCTAGCTGCATCACTCTGATGTTCTCTTGTTTTCCCAAGATACGAATACACCTGAAGTATAAGATGTAACTACTGTTAGCCATTCAGTCATATTGTCTCCTTTCTGACTGCAAGACTTAAAGCAAATTTCCCAAACCCTCTCAAAATATCTAATTGTTTTACAATGCTTCTCTATTCAAACTTGCTACTAAATTTACTAGTCAACCTCCTCACACAATAAAATCCCAACTGCGTGATCCACATTTACTTTATGTTATCACACCCAGCTAGGCAGAGATCAACGAATTACACCTTTTTTAGGCAAGTATTCTTGCCATATTTTGTCCTCATTTTACTAAGCTTTCAACTGCCATGACTCATTACTAAGCACACAAGTACCTAGTATCTAAAGGCTCTCAAGTAACAGCAACCAAAAAAGGAACCCCTACAGTCATATCGAGTTTTAAATATAGTATAAATTTGACTAAAGAGAGACTTGAAACATATTTATCTCAATGTGTCTCACTGAAACTTACCTGTTAGTCTCTACATTTATAACCTTAATGCCCAACATTGTTCCATAAAGAACGAAGTGTCCAGTTTCATCAAAAACTATATTAATCAATCTCACTGCGTCCACTTTCTCTAGCTCA